TTTTGAGACAGGGTCTCCCTGTAGCCCCAGCTGTCCTGGAACTCACTATATAGACCAGGCTGGCCTTGACTCACAGTGATCTGCCTGCCTCTGCCTTCCAAGTGCTGGGACTACAGGCGTGCGCCACCACACCTGGTGATTACCCTGTTTTTTTAAAAAAAAAGGATTTTAGGGGCTGGAGAGATGGCTTAGTGGTAAAGAACACTGGCTGTTCTTGCAAAAGACCTGGGTTTGAATCCCAGCATCCACACAGCAGCTGACAACTGTCTGTAACTCCAGTTCCAGGGGATCTGATGCCCTCTTCTGTCCTCATGGGCATTGCACGACCACGGGTGCAGTTATAGACATGCAGGCAATACATGTATACATGTAAAAAAAATAATAAAAAAAAAGATTTTAAGAAAACCCTAAAAAGTGTCTAACCTAAAGTTTGGTTCAGTTGGATTACACTTGATAAAAAAGGAGCAATCAGAATCCCTGAGTGATGACTTTTTGCAGGAGCCTTAGAGGCATTGAGACTCAGGGAGGCTCATGGGTGTGATGGTTGGCCCTCTCTAAAGTTGGAGTTGCTTAGATTCTTGTGGCTGTAGGCAGCTGTCTAGGTATAGATGCTGCATACGGGTTCAGAGGCAGCGTCTGTGTGAGCAGCTTTTGGTCAGAGAGGCGTCATGTCTCCTCATGGCTGTACAACAATGTCTCAGAGCAAAAGCCTGAATGAGTCAGCTTGGCAAACATAGGCTCTCTGCTCTAGGTAAATTGCAAAGGCCAGATATCTGCTTGGAAGACATGTAAGTGTTGGTATAACCTGCCTTAGGGTATGTTAATTTTATCTTTTCTATTAAAAGAAAAATTATGATTTATGTGTCAGATAGCCACAGAGGCTATAGGCCTGCCAAAAGCAGTGCCACCCAAGATCTTTTCTACTCTGAGGGCTGAGTTGTCCATATTGCTGATGTGTTCATTTTTCCTCCAGGAGGATGAGCTTAGTGGGCCAGAATGGATCCTCCTAGGTTCTGAAATGTCAATGTTTTTTTGTTCCTTAGAACATCACTTTCCTGATTCCTGGTTTCTACCACTACATGGACCTTGCATATAACGGTTCTGTACAGCTGCCAGATCTGACCAACTGCCTGGACATTGGCAGCACGAATCAGCCTGGGGATGTTCGGCAGGACTGGGGCCTGGCCAGTAGGGTCCAGGGTATGGCATAGCCTGCTCTCCCACAGTGTTCCTGTGGTTCTCTAGCGCCATGTAGGCTGGTAGCTCCATGACAGAGATGGACAGAGCAGAAACCACTGATGACTTCTCCTGAGGCTCTGGTGGACAGAGGGGTAGAAGGCTGTATCCTAGTTTAGTGGATGGGACAGTTGGGTGTAGTTTTTACAAATATATTAACCTCTAGGGAATTTGTAATTCCTCTAAGACTGAATCACTGAATCACATGTCTGAAGCATTAAATAGCTGACCAAAGTCTTGTCTATTTAAAGAGAATTTATAACTGAGACAAGCACATGCCTGTAATCCCAGCACTCAAGTGTCTGAGGCTGGAGGATTGTTTGAGGCCAGCCTGGGCCTTATAGCAAGCCCTGTCTGAAAACAAAAACCCTCCCCTACAACAAAAAAAATATAATCAAAATAATAAAATTTATGTAGTTTCATGTAACATAAGATTGAATTGTTAGAGCATATCATGTTGACTACTAAATTATGTTGCATATATGTTGACTTAGTTTATCCTCATAGTTCAAATCTTAGGTGATTAGTTTGTGAAGACAGTGTAAGCGGTCAGTTTTCTGTCCCAAAGGACCCCCTTTTGGCTCAGGATACTAGGAGGGAATGGGACCTGCCAATGCCCTGCAAAGCCAGTGTCTGATTTCTTGGAGTTCCTGGGTGGTCCTGGGGACTGTGAATCCAGAAGATGTGGAGCTGCAGGGGTGTTGGGAGGATCTCTGCCTTCTACTGGACAGAGGTGCTGAAATAGGAACAAATATGAGGGACCAGTGCTAGCAGAGGGCAAAGCTGTTGGTGCTCTTCTGGTGCATGTTGGTAAGTGCAGGCTAGCTGAGTATTTGCAGGCTTGGTACAGTCACTGAGGAGGTATTTTCAATACAGTGTGCTTGGGAATAGAAAACACTCTTTTGATTTTGTTGTTAGATGTGGAGGTAGATGTGGTGCCACCCTGTGATCACGTAGTACTGTCACAAGATGAAACCTTGAAGCAAGAAAGACAGGAAGTCTTTCCTGGGACTCACACACGGCTGGAAACTGGGAACCCGACACCTTCCCACTCATCTCAGCCCTCCTTGAGGTAAGTGCCTTAGTGGGAGAACATAGGTTTGCCTAGTCCAGGTAGGTAATATTCAGCTCACTGGTAATAATGACAGTGATGACAAGTGTGTACTGGTCCCCTGCTCTGTCCACTTACAACAGTGCTTTTCACCTGGCTGAGTCCTCACAACCTCTGTGAGAGAGTACCTACGATGTTGTTTCTCTTAGCTCTTGGATACGGATGTGGGCTGTTGAGGGTTCAGGAATGTTTAGGTAGACTTCAGAAAACTGATAGAGGTACAACTTTATAATTTTGAAAATTATTTGAAGCTTTCTCTACATTTTTAAATAAAGTCTTCCATTTTGAGTAAAAATGTTTGTTAGAAAATTTGGAAAAGTAGAAATAAAAACTTAATTTGTTCTCTTCTAGCATTTTGATGTATGTGACAATAAGTGGGTGGCTTTGTTTTCCTGCAGTCTGATGCCTAAAATAGAATGACACCTTGCTGCAACATAAGTAACTGACCAAAGTCTTATCTATTTAAAGAGTTTTTTTTTTTTTTTTTTTTTTTTTTTTTTGTCTTTTTGAGACAGGGTCTCCTTGTAGCTTCAGCCAGCCTGGAACTCTATGTAGACCAGACTGACCTTGATCTCACAGAGAGCCACCTGCCTCTACCTCCCAAGTGCTGGGATTAAAGGTGTGTACCACCACACCTGGCTCTTAAAGAGAATTTATAACTGAGTCAGGCACGTACCTGTAATCCCAGCACTCAAGTCTGAGGCTGGAGGATTGTTTGAGGCCATTTTGGGCCTCACAGCAAGCCCTATCTGAGAACAAAAAGCCTCCCCCAACAAAAAATAATCACAATAATAAATTTAGTTTCAGGTAGCATAAGGGTGAATTGTTTTAGTATATCATGTTGATTCCTAAATGTTGCATATATGTTGACTTAATTAGTTTATCCCCAAAGTTTAAGTCTTAGGTGAGTGGTTTGGGTAGAATTCAGAGGACTAGTCTTATTGTACATGGACATCTTTAGATAGCTGTTCTAAGAACTTGGTTAGCATCCATCACATGTAAAGTGTAGTTTTTGTAGAGAGTCATTATTCATCCATCTGTTCATTTATTCCTTCACCTGCTTACAAGTAAGTTTGCTGAAGACTTGAAGTTTCATCCCTAAGTTACAATCTACTCAGGAAGGTAAACTTACATTGTGAGACGTACCAATCAGGAAGTGTGAGGGAAAGGTGTGAGTGGATTATGTGTCTGAGGACTAATAGTTGTTTTCTCATAAGCTGCCTCTACTCCTTTTACTCCTGGGAGCTCAGTTGCCCTGAATTCAGTGACTTGATGCTGAAGCTGAGTGTTAGGAGACTGGGACAAGTACTCAAAAAGATTCCAGGTGAAGTACCCAGACAGTATTGGGGGTTTTAGGCTCCCCAGAAGCCAGCACTTGGTGCTCCTGGCTGGGGGACCCGAGATCACTAGGGTAGCCCTGGACATAGGTACTGTGTCACCCTGTGTGAACTTCTGCTGGTGGGAGGAGAGGAGGGGCTCTCTACCCTAGAGATTCACTTGGAAACCTTACTCCTTACCTCTTCACAGTGACCAGAATTTAGTGGTAGGTGATATCACTAAATCTTGACTAAATCTTGACTGCTAGGGCAGCTGGTAAATGTCCTTTGTCTTCTGGGTTGCTGTATTCCTAAAAAACAAGGAATTCGAAGTCTCCAACACAGAATTTTTCCCCCTAATTTGATGCTAACACACTGTTGATGGTCAAACCATTGCTGAGCTGATGGGAAGCTATTGGTAGCCTTCTCTCAGCCCCTGCCATGCAGCTATTCAGAGGCTGTACTGCAGGGACAGGAGTATGTCCCCAGTCTACCAGAGTTTCTCCAGTAAGTGACTTTTGAGTTTCTAAGATCCCAGAGCCCATCTGGCACAAGGTTTGGAGTAGAAAGGCTGTAGGGACAGGTGTGACTGCAAAGAGGAAAACAAAGATTGGGTGCCACCAGCCATACTTGGAGAGTCTAAGAAGGTGAACATCATACCCAGGGGCTTCCAGACCTTTTGTCAGGGTGTTAATGAAGCTCTCATGCCAGGGGTTCCCCATATCTCCTTCTTCTAGCCCTCCCTGTAATCTGTTCCTGGAGAGAACACAAAACTTGTCTTTTGGCATGGGAGGGTTAGACAGAGGCAGAGGAGTGGTAGGTAGACAAGCCCTCCTGCCCGACCTCTGCAGACCTTCATCCTACTCTTTCTCCAGGAAGTCTTTTCTTCTAGAATTCTACTCACAACACCTTCTTCTGGTGTGGATTCTTTCTTTTCTGTCCATCTTCATTAACTTCTGCCGTGCAGTTTGTTTGTGAGGACCTCCTTTCCCAAGACTGTATAGCATATTCTGATCACCAGGTGCTTGACTTTAGCCATGGGGTGGTAGGTACAGGCGCTAGGTACATTTGGCTTGTGAATACAGTAGAGGGCAAGCTGGTGGAGTGGACTTTGGCCAGACCGTGGGCTTTGCCAGTCAGCCTGCCTGGACTGGGAACAGCTTCTTCACTGCTCCTTCACTCCTCTCCACCCCAGATCCTCATTCTCTCATCCTCTTCACTCCTCCTCTGCTCCTTGTATGTGTCACTTTGCCAGCCTTCTCTGAGCTGCCTCCCCCAGTGCCTGTGAAAGTAGGTGGTGATGGATGATGTTAAGAGCCAGTCGTAGCTTGCTGTTTTACCAAATGCTCTAAAATCCATTTCTCACACTTCCTCAGGGCAGCTCCTGGGATGTCCCCCTTGAGTGTGGGGCTGAGACTGAGCTGCATGACTGGCAGGAAGCCTGGATCACTGAAGCCTCTCCTGATGTGACATGAGGATGCTGATGATAGCATTGAGCATGCATCTGCATCCTAGTATTGGGCTTTTCAGTAGCTTTCTTTGATTCATCCTTGGTAAATATGAATTTATATGGAGAATGTTTGAGAGTGGGTACTTTATTTTATAACTTAGTTACACAGTTTAGACTTTCTATCGTAACTTTATGGTATTAAATGCATTGTACTTTTTAATAGATGGAAAGCCAACGTGATCTATCTCATTGCCACTAGTGATTATAATCCAAATTCCTATCTCCAGGGTGGACAGCAACCTGGCACGCAGTGAGCAGTCATTGCCCACAGACCAGCAAAGCATTCCAGAGAGAAGCCTCCAAGGCCATGGTAGACAGTTACTTTCTAAGAACCAGCCAGACACCCCAGAAGGAACCTCTCCAGTCCATCATGAACTGTTGTCTGAGATCCAGAAAAATATCTCAGAAGAAAGCCCTCCAATCCACAGAGAATGGTTGTTGCTCAAGGGGCAGCAGGACACTGTAGAAGGAAGCCTACCAGTCCATGAAGAGCAGTCATTGCTTTTAGACCAGCGTGTCACTGTCTTCAGGAAGAAAGATCCTGCAACAGTAGAGAGCTCTAGGTGGAGTCTTTTAGGAGAAAGCAGTTCTGAACCAGTGGATGCAAAACTGATTGTTCCTTTGGGACTGGAGGATTCTGAACCTCCAGTCCCAGCCAAGCCCAGGAACAGCAGCATGGACATATATAGCTTGCATCAGGAAGCTCAGCTGGAGCTGATGGGTGTCAGCAGTCCCAGCCCCTGGGCTGATGCCACCATGCCCGAGCCCCACACCACAGGGCAGCTAGCAGGAGGGGGCTTCCTGACACACTGCTCTCATTACAGGAGTGAGTGCATCTTGCAGCCTCGAGGCCAGGACTTCGCCCCCAGCCCCTCAGGAATGGCATGTGTCTTGCTTGGGACACCCACTTTGGATGAGTCATGGTCAGGAGTGAGAAATGACCGAGAAGAGCTACAGACCTGCTTGATTAAGGAGCAGTTGTCCAAGTCGAGTTTTACAGGAACTCTGGGCATTTCCTGTGTGGAACTTGTCCCAGCAGAGCATCCTCCTTTCACTGCCCCTGTGTCCTTCTGTGATCTGGGAGACAGAGATCTACATGGCAGCCGCTCTGGCAGCTCCTCAGCCTGCTATGCGTTAGCCACTGACCTCCCTGGTGTCCTGGAGACGGGGGAGACCCAGGAGGCGGACATGAATTCTTATTCCTGGAACCTCAGGGAGCTCTTTCTCAGCGACCAGACAGACCAAACTTCATCAGACTGTTCCTGTGCCACATCTGAATTCAGCGAGGCGCCTTCTTCAGTGGTTGACTCAGATTTAGATATGGGTGTTCTCCACAGGCAGAAATCAGATAGTATGGGTGATCGAGAGCTGCTTCTGACTGGCACCTACTTTGACCTTAGTGAAGGCCGACGGTTCCAGAAGATTGGCATAGGACATGATCAAAGAGAACTGTCTGCAATTTCTTTGGTGTCCTCTAAACACTATGAAGCTAGTGACATAGAAAACCCAGGCTGTGACCTTCCCACACCAGAACCTGGTCCTGAGGATATGTGCCTATCAGCAGAGGGGCCGAGGCTGAGTGCCCAGGTCACTTCCACTCCTGTGGCACCTGGTACCAGCTGCCCGCAGCAGGAGATCCAGGAGGGCACCTACTCTGGAAGTTGTTACCACCGAGATGGCTTGCTGCTGAGTATGTTCCCTGGAGGGGAGTGAGGAGTGGCTCATTGTTTCCAGAGCACAGTGCAGAGGAGGTTGGGAGGTACAGGGCCACCCTTATCCCAGGGCCAAAAGTGGTTTTACATCTGAATGGTTCTGTTAAAGGATGTTGTGCTATGAGGGAGCACGTAGTCCCAGCCACCCTCCTAGTGCCAGTGGGATGTGATCCTGGTATCTGGCCCTCCAGTTCTTCCTGTTGCCCCAGGTCACCCTGACTCTAAGAGGCCGGGTTGACTTGTATAGGTGAGGTGTCACTGTCCCAGGTGCTTTCAGCATCACGCTGCTCTGGTCTGTGCAGTTTCTTCTGTGAGACCATGAGGACCAGGCTGATTTTCTTTTTCTCACTTCCCTTTTTCTTTGCTTAATTTCTTAGGTAGGTGCACGTGTCAATTGTTTCCATGTTGTTGATTTTGTAGTTTGGTTGCTATGGATTTTTTCCTAAGCTAGAAAAAAATGATATACACTAGAAAATATAAATAAGAAGAAAACAGATCAGCTATAACCCTCTCTGCCCTCCACTAAAGAAAGTTACATTTGTCTTGGTGTGTCCCTAGGAGGGTGTAGATTAGAAGCTTCCGTATAGAAAAATACAAGTGTTGGGCTGGGGAGATGGCTCAGTTGGTAAGGCACCTGTCGTGAGGACCTGATTTGGATCTCTTGATGCCCACATAAAAGCTGGGCATGGTCACACATACCTATAACCTTAGTGCTGGGGGACCAAGAGAGACAGATTCCTGGAGCTTACTGGCCAACCTACCTAGCCAGTTGGTGAGCTCTGGATTTATTTAGTGAGAGGCCCTGTCTCAAAAGATAAGTTGGCCTGGCATGATGGTACATGTCTTTAATCCCAGCATCGGGAGGCAGATTAAAGCCAGTCTGATGTACATAGTAAGTTCCAGGCCAGGCCAGCAAGGGATGCAGGGAGACCCTGTCTCAATATCACCACCCAAAAATGTTAAGTTGGAGAGTGATAATGTAAGACTCCCAACCTTAACCTCTGGTCTCCACATGTACACACACCCTGCATGCACATGTATATACAACACGCACACACACACATAAAAGTGCTTTATGAAGGCCTGCATGCATATATATTTGACTTTTTAATGTGGTTCTGTGTAACTAGGACATGCACTGGCCGAATGTTCACGTCACCTGAAGGCAGGGGACCTGTTCTGTCCAGGCTTTCTGAGCTATGGTGTTATATAGCTCTCCCAAGGGTGTCTTTTGGCTACTCTGCATGCTGTGATGATTCACTGCACCTAGCTTAGGGCTGGTCCTGAAGGCTTTTCTCCTGCTTCTGCCCTTGGCCTGGTCTGCTTTGTGGGATCTTGCTGCACTGGGGAATGGGCTTATCAATCATAGTGGTGCTTGGTGAGTTCAGCTGAGGAATCAGCAGAGTGCTATACTTCTTCCAACTTCTTGCCTTTCAGGTGTACAGTTTGAAGTGAAGCGAGTAGAGCTCCAGGGATCTGCAACCCTCTTCTGCTGCTGGCTGGTGAAGGACCTCCTGCATAGCCATTGGGACTCAGTGACCAGGACCCGCTTGCTCCTCGCCAGCCTGCCTGGCTCTACCCACTCCATGTCCGAACTCTCTGGATCCGACCTTGGGGGGGTTGGTATCTGTGGTCAGCTCAGTCCTCTATTTACTTTTTACTGTGCTTTAGATTTTCCAGGTGGCATTGCTGCCCTTCTTTTGATTGGGGTGGGTGTAAGGTCTGTTTGTGGCCTTTAAACATTGTGTTCTAATACCCTGTGTAAATGTAAAGCAAATGTAGTGCTTTAAACATGAGTATGCCCTGTGTGTGCAGTGGAGTGTAGAGGCATTTGTACATGGTCCAGTGGAGATTGATGGGTGGATACTGCCAGAGGGCTCCATGGAGAGAGATTTTCAGGCCACCCGCTGAGGGCATGGGAGATGGGCGCAGCATGGATGAGGGAGCCATACTGCTGGAGATGAGGTGGCTTTGATCTCCCGAACCTTTGTGTCTGCAGGTGCTCAGGGCCAAGCCCTGGTTTGAGGAGTCTCCCACACCTGCAGAGCTGGAGGGGCTGGCAGCCTGTGAGGGTGCGTACTCTCACAAATACAGTACCCTCAGCCCACTTGGCAGCGGTGCCTTTGGCTTCGTGTGGACCGCAGTGGAGAAGGAGCACAACAAAGAGGTACTTGGGTTCTTGTGGGGATGGCCCCCAGTGATCCCCTGATCTTTATGTACATCTGGAACTTTGTACATAAAGTGGGGGAAGGAGGCCCCTCTGTGCAGGGCATGGAGAGCGCAGTCCAGAATATGGGTGTTTTCTGGATACGAAGAGGAGGCTCCCAGCAAAGTACACATGACCCTAGGCAGCAGCCCTGATGAGCTCAGATACAGACTTTGCTTCCTGAAGGCTCCCAGGCCCTGGCTAGGCCTGCAGCTCTGTTGGCTGCTCCCCTCTTCTGAGCATGGGACTCACACTGCTTTCCTGCTGTCCATGGCATATACCTCATGGGCATGGCATGCAAACTCACTTTTAAAACTAAACTTAGAACCTCTTCTGCTCAATTGGAAAAAAAAAATGTCCTCACTACACGAGGAAGCAAGCTAGCTAATAATCACTCTCAGGGTCTGTCCAGGTTTGACTGTAGCTCTCAGCTGGTTTGTACCTCATGCCTCCAGGGTGCAGACAGTTGGCTGCCTTCCCCAGTCGTTATGGCCATCCCTACTTGTTTCCCTCTGTGTGAGCCCTAGAACTCACTGTCCTGCCCTCCAAAATCCCATTGGGATTTGAGCCTTGGTGTATTTTGTGGTTTTAGTACCAGCCTTGCTCCTAAGAAGCAGCATCCACCTCTTGTGTGACACTGTCAGGCTGCCTGGCATGCACTGCCATCTGGATCCTGGAGGACCCTGGAGTGCTGCCGTGGGATCTTTTACCCTCTGTGCCTTCTAATCACTTGTTGCTAGAAGGCACCAAAGGTCTGTGTCTGAGTTGCTGCCTCACAATTCCTGGTTCTAGCAGTTTTTCAGAATGTATTAGGATTTTCCCTATAGCATGGCAATTTTGTCTTTCCTTTCTGTGGTTCACTTCTTATCCTTCCTTCCCTTTTGTCATGCTGGCCAGGGCCCACAGAGCAGTGTTCCTTGACAGTTATGCCGCTGGTTTCCCTGACGCTCCAGTCTGTCACTATGGTTCCTTATATCTCCCAGTGAACACATTTTATTGAAGACATTGCATTTTATTTTTAGCCCACTGAAGTATTTTTATATATATAATTTTTTTTGCATTTGTGTGTGTGTGTGTTTGTGTGTATGCACATGCGTATGCCCACACAATTATGCACATACATGCATGTTACAGCCTGTGTGTGGACTTCAGTGGGTGACCTTGTGGAGTCAGGTCTCTCCATCTTTTCGTGGGTTTGGGGATCAAAACCAGGTCGCCAGGCTGGTGTGGAAGATGTCAGTACTCACTGAGCCATCTCACTGGACATCTTTATTCTTTTCTCATTTATGCTTATATATGGAATTTATTTAGGGTTTCTGTGTTGCTCAGCTGACTTCCTCCTTCCACCTTTTTTTGTTCATTCCTGGATTCCAGCTTGGGTTGGTGCAGGCCGCATTCTGGGACAGTTTTCCCCCTGAGTTAATCTTCTCAGGAAAGCTCTCACAGATACATCATTATTTAAAATTGTTTTTGTTTACTACTGTGTGTGTATGTGGACATACACATGCCATGACATGAGTGGAGGTCAGAGGACAACTTTGTGAAGTCAGTTCTGTCCTTTTATCTTCCGTGTGTTTTTGGATTTAACTCAAGTCATGGGGATTGCATGGCAACTGCTTTTGCCTGCTTCGCTAGCTTGCTGACCTCATGTAATTAATTTTAATTAGCTCAATTTATCAGTTTTTCTCTTATGGATCATCCTTTTGATATTCAGTATGACCCAAGGTTCATAAGTATTTTCTCCTATGTTTCTAGATCTTTTCATTTTAAGGTCATAGGTTTTATACTGAGATCCATACTGGATATAATTTGGGTGATTTTTGTATGTATTACAAGATGTGCCTGATTACTTTTTGCATATGCTCACCCCCTATCAGTGTCACTTGTTGAAAAGATGTTCTTTCTACATTGGATTATCTTGGTACCTTTGTCAAAAATCAGCCAGGAGTCTAGACAGATGGATCAGTGGTTAAGAGCATTAGCTGCTCTTGCAGAGGACCCAGGTTCAGGTCCCAGCACCTACATGGCAACTAACAATCATCTGAGACTCTACTTCCAGGGTATATTAGTTGCTTTTCTATTGCTGTGATAAAAACACTGACCAAAGCAACTTATGGGAGGAAGAATTTATTTGGCTTACGGTTCAGAGGGATAATGGTAGGGGAGGTGTGGTGGCAGAGGTGGCCAGAGCAGAAAGCTAGCTATCACATCTTCAAGCAGGCACAGGAAGCAAAGAGACTGGAATTCAGTAAGTCTTAAGAACTCTCAAAGCCCACCCCCAGTGATATGCTTACACCAGCATGGCCATACCTCCTGAAGATGCCATGACCCTCCCCATAAACTGGGGACAAGTGTCCAAAAACTTGGAACCTTTGGGGGACAGTCATGCAAACCCCCTGTGCCTAATTTCTTTGGCAGAGGAAATTTCAAGACAGCCTAATGTGGAATTGGTGATGTCGTTATTCATGGTGAATATTATGGAGCTCTACAATGAAAAAGAGCAAATGGGGCAGAAAGAAATGCAGGATGTACAGTTTGGATTGAAAAAGAGCAAGAGTTCCCAGCACTCAGGAGGCAGAAGTGGATCTCTGTGAGTTCAAGACCAGCCTGGTCTACGTAGTGAATTCCAGACCAGCCGGGGCTACAGGGAGACCCTGTCTCAAAAAGACCGAAAAGACAAAAAAAGAAAAAGAGCACTAGGAAGATTAATGTTGGAGCCAAGGCATGTGCTGAAGGAGAGGCTCTCTTTGATAAGGAGAGTAGAGCCATAAAGGACAGGCCTAGAGATGTGCACTTAAACAGTGGAAAGAGTGCCTTCAGGGTAAAAAGAACACACCTGTGAAAGGAAAATGCTGGAGGGGATTCTGTTCCTAGAAAACCAGAACATAGAAAAGCTGCTAATGTGGATGAAGCAGGCCCCTCCCAGGCTGGCAGCTGAACTTGGCAGTGTTGTTCATATAGTGCTGGACTTAGAGGCATGAAAGATACAAGAGTAAAGGGGTCATTGGTTCTTTCTCCACAGTTTCAGAGCACCACAGAGACCAGGCAGTGTACAACAGGGGTGTCCCTGCATAAAGAAGGCCCTGACAGGCCATTGTGAAGCTGTGAAGGTGAAACCTGGTTGGCAGTGGAGACCCCAGGATGCTGGAGAGTTAGAGATGAGATATCTGCCTAGTAGAGCTGCATTCACAGAGTGATTCCAGCCCAAGAGAGAGATGTGTTGCATGCAGCAAAGCTGGAGTGTCAGAGCCATCTAAGTCCAAAGTGAAGTTCCAGAAGTTGAACATGTTGCTACTGGATTTAGTGTTTGCCCTGCTGGCTTTTGGTCCTGTTTTGGTCTAGTGTTTTCTCAGTATTCCTTTTGGAGTGAGAATGTGTATTTGGTTTCATTGCATGTTGTAAGTATGTAATTTGTCTTTAGATTTTACAGGGGCTTACAGTTAAGAGATTGTCCTGAATCTCAGAACAGACTTTGGACTCGACTTTTGAATAGTATTGAAGTTGGTAAAGACTATGGGATTTTAGAAGATGGAGTAAATGCATTTTGCATTTTATATCATGAGCCTATTGGGTCAGGGCGTAGAATGTAGTGGTTTGAGTAAGAATGACTCTCTTAGGCTCCAAGTATTAGGGCATTTTGTCCTCAGTTGGTGGCGCTGTTTTTGGAGGTTTTAGGAGGCATTGTTCATATGGTGCTGGATCCACCAAGGTGGATTCTAATGCTCTGGAACTGTAAGCTAAATAAACTCTTCCTTCTATAAATTGGCCTTGGTCATGGTGTTTTTTTCACAGCAACAGAACTAACTAATATACAGGGAATCTGATGCCCTCTTTTGGCCTTTGCAGCCATTGCACACATAGGTAGACTTATATGCAGGCAAAACACTCATGTATATAAAATTAAAAAATAAATTAGCCATGTTCATGTAGGTCAGCCACTGAGCTTTGAAAGTTAGTGCATCTCTAGAAACTGGAGCTTTCAGTTAATCCTGATATTATTACTTTTTTTTTTCCAAAATGGCAAGAAAACTTGTAAAATTAATGCCATAGTACAGATCAGATATGCTACAAGTGAGCAGTGATCTTGAGTTAGAGTACTCAGGGGCCAATCTTGACATAGTTTTGAATATTTTTGGACTTTGCTTATTATGTATTAGTGATGTCTATTGAGACTGTGTCACATCTTGACAAACTGAATCTTCAATGAAATAAACAGCTCTCACCTTAAAGAATAAAGAGTTGGTTTATTCTGGAGCCAAATATGAGTGACCATGGCCCGGGAACACAGATTTAGATTTCCCCAAATACCATGTTCTAGCGTGGTAACAGTTTTCTTTCATTTTTATAGTGACAGAATAAAGAAAAGTCATAAATCAAGACATTTTTCAAATACATTGGAGGATACATTCAGTAGGTGGGTCATAGCAAAGTGAGGGGTTTTTTACTATAGTTTTAGATGCTAACTGATGACATTCTTAGCCTTAATGATTGGTGAGACCAGGTGGTCTGCTAGGATAATACAGTCTAAGAGGTTTTTTTTTTAATCTGTTTGTCACAGGATGTTAGATCAGAAACAGAGGTAGCAAGGAGTGGCTGTTTAGGGGGCTGAAGATGGCCTGAGATAAATGGTAGTTAGACTCTGAACTTGCAACATTCCAAACTCTCCACATTCATTGAAGTTCTAATCAGTTGATCAGCCTTGCAGGAAGAAGTCCAGTTTGAAGACAGAAGGGTTTTTTTTTTTTTTTTTGATTCTGGGGACTTTTATTCACATTTCCATAATAGTGTATTTGAGTCTTGTTTGAATTCTGTCATCCATGTGTTATAATTTTAACATGCACACATGCACACACGTGCATTGTGCATGGAAGCCCAGGATTGACATTGGGAGTCTTCCTTTAATCATCTCTTTCACTATACCCACTGAGGCAGAGCCTCACAGTTGAACCCAGAACTTGTCCATACAGCAAGTCTAGCTAGTAAGCTTACTTTTTGGATTCCTAGTCTTCTGCCTCTGAGTGCTGGGAGTGCTGGGTGGCCACCATGCCTACCTTGGCATACATGGACTCTAGGGATCCAAAGTCTGGTTCTCATGCTAGCTCAGCAGGTGCTTTAACCACTGAGCCATCCCTCAGCCCCAACTTCACTTTTTGTATGGGGCTAGCAGCACTGCTTCTTTAGACTATTCTTTGGTACCCTGTCAAAAAATCAACCGGCTGTGCATATGTGGGTTTATTCCTGGCTCTCTTATTCTATTGCTGTATACCTGTCTTTGAGCCAGTACCATACTCTTTGATGATTATAGCTTTGTAATAAGTTATAAAACTGGAAAATGTTAGTCAAGATTATTTTGGCTATTTCAAGATTGTTTTGACTGTCTTGCAATTTAGGGTTTTTGTTTTGTTTTGTTTTTTTTGATCTTTTTGAGACAAGGTTTTCCTGTAGCCCCAGCTAGCCTGGAACTTGCAATGTAGATCAGGCTGGCCTGGATCTCTATGAGTGCTGGGACTAAAGGCATGTGCCACCATGCCTGGCAGTCTTGAAATTTCATAAAAATTTTGGATCATCTTGTCCATTTCTTCAGGAAAGTAGCTGGGTTGTTATAACAGCTGTAGCTCAACTTGGGGATTCTTAACATGAACAGTTAAGAACTGATTCTTCTGATTCATTAACATGGCTGTCTTTTCATTTCTGCAGATCTTCAGTTTCTTTCAACAGAGTTTTGTAATTTCATTGTATAAATTTGTTCTGTGGTAAAAACTACATTATTTTTTTCCTTTCTGATCCAGGATTTCTTTTAGCTCAGGCTGCCTTGAACTCAATAGGTAGCGAAGATGACTTTGGATTTGTAATCCTCGTGCTTCCACTTCCTATGTGCTGGGATTACAGGTGTGTGTTGTCATACCTGGCATGTCTACATTATTCTTGTACCAGTTTCTTGACTTTTACTGGAATATATTGCTTGCTTTTTTTTTTTTTTTGGTGTTTTTGAGATGGGGTCTCCCAGTAGCCCCAGCTGGCCTGGAACTCACAGATCCACCTGCCTCTGCCTCCTGAGTGCTACTATTAAAGGCGTGCGCCACCATGCCCGGCCCTGTTTTTGTTTCTGTTTTTAAGAGGAATACATGGATAGTATACTTTCAGTCCTTGAATGTACAAAGGTATGTTCTTCTCAGGACTTTTTTTTTTTTTTTTTTTTTGTCTTTTTGAGACAGGGTCTCCCTGTAGCCCCAGCTGTCCTGGAACTCAGTATGTAGATCAGGCTGGCCTTTAACTCACAGAGATCTGCCTGCCTCTGCCTCCCGAGTGCTGGGATTAAAGGCATGTGCCACCCCACCCAGCCCTTTCTCAGGACTTTTTAAACCTGTATCTATTGTTATCTACCATTATTTTGAAGTAAATTTTGCTGCCCAGCAATCTGATTCCCCCCCTGGATTTTTCAAAGCTTTTTATTTCAAAAAAGTCACCCGAATTTAAGGATGTGCGTATGTGTCTGTGTGTTCTTGCCTGATATTTGGTAAGACTTCCATCTGAATGCTTAAAGCTTTCTTTATTATTTTATTTTATTTTGTTATTTTATTTATTTATTTATTTTGGTTTTTTTTTGGTCTTTTTGAGACAGGGTCTACCTGTAGCCCCAGCTGTCCTGGAACTCACTATGTAGACCAGGCTGGCCTTGAATCCACAGAGATCCACCTGCCTCTGCCTCCTGGGTGCTAGGATTAAAGGTGTGCGCCACCACGGCCGGCATAGCTTTCTTTATTTTAAAAGACTTTTTTTTTTTTTTCATTTTTACCAATCCTTTCCCCTCTCTGAAACTCACTTCAGGCTTGTGGTAGCTCCAGGAGAAGGCCCTCCTTTTTGTCTACTTGCCCAGGTTGGCAGGCAGCAAGCATCTGCTTAAACATGTCTGAAACAGAGCATCTCTGGCTGTTGCTCTCCCTTCCCAGGCATTAATCCCTTCTCGGCTCTTCAGGATCACTGTTTTGTTTCTTCTTCATCTTCCTGTGTTCACTTAAGTCTCTGCCCTGGACAAGTCATGGCCCTCCCTCTCAGCTGTCCTCGGAATTTGTCTGCTTCACCCAAGCTGTATCTCCTCTCTCCTGATCATTGTGGGAGATGGTTGTATGTTGCAGAAATGTCTTGTTGCTGCTCCCACTTCTGTCCCACTCCTCCCCTGCCCCCCATTGTGGTCTGGGAACTTGCTCCAGAGCCTTTCTTCTAGTTTCCCTCCCTGTTCCTGCCCCTCAGTGCCTCATTGCTCACTTATTTGTCTTGGCCACACATTGTTCCCTAGTACATGATGCAATTTATCATCTACTCTTCAGTAGAAGATCAGGTCTTTGGAACAAGTCTTGCTGGTGTCTTTACATCCTCAACTTTCTGTTGAAAGACTGTCTTTACAGCAAACAACACACAGTATTTATTTATATTTTTTGGATTTATTTTATTTTTATTTTATGTATATGAGTGTTTTGCCTGCATGTATGTAAGTGCACCCATGTCATGGAATGCCTGTGGATGCCAGAAGACGATGTCAGATCTCCTGCAACTAGAGTTACCAGTGGTTGTTAGCCACCATGTGGGTGTTGGGAACTGAACCTAGGTTCTGTGCAAGAGTAGCCAGTGCTCTTAACCACTGACCCATCTCTCCAGTTCCCAGTATTTCTTTCCTTGTGGTGGAATTGTTGTCCACTGCACCTGTAACTGACCAACTGTTGTTACCATGAAGCATTTCTCATGGTTACCACACCCATTAGGCTTGCAGGGAACCTTAGACCAGGCCTGCTGGTCAGCCTTAGTGTCAGGGCTGACCTTCATCCAACAGTGATAGTTTCATTTTCTCTGTCCTGCAGGCCTCTCATGAATTCTCTTATTCTCTTGATCAGGTTACATAGTATGAAAACTGGGGTGATGTAGGTTGTTATCGGAACACGGCCCTAAGGTTTCTGGGATCCCATTTCTCCAGTACTGGCCATGGCTCCTCAGCACCTCCTGGGACCTCCATCCTACCCATCCTGTCCATGATAGGACAGGGAGAACTACCAGCATTTCTGACGGGCTTTGGCCTCCTCCTTTCTTTCTTCCTGCTGCAGGGCCATGGAGCTTGGAGGAGATAACTGCAGCAGCTCTGCCTGCTCTGCCTGCTGTGCAGTCCAAAGTGGGCACCAGGTTTAACAGATGCTAGAGGACTTCCTCCCTCTGTTTCCCTTGTAGGTGGTGGTAAAGTTTATTAAGAAGGAGAAGGTTTTGGAGGATTGTTGGATTGAGGACCCCAAACTTGGAAAAGTTACTTTGGAGATTGCGATTCTGTCCAAGGTGGAACATGCCAACATAATCAAGGTAGATGGTGATTTTCTATGTGCTGGCACCCTCGTGTTGCTCCTTAACAGCAGACCTGGACCTGCCCTTGTCTTTTTTCAGGTTCTGGATGTATTTGAAAACCAAGGCTTCTTCCAGCTGGTGATGGAAAAGCACGGCTCCGGCCTGGACCTCTTTGCTTTCATCGATCGCCGTCCCAGCCTGGATGAGCCCCTGGCGAGCTACATTTTCCGACAAGTGAGAGTGGGCCAGGGCTGTGTAGGGTGGATATGGGCTTGTGTGATTATGCCCCATGGCTGCAAGGATCAGTGGCATGTGTGCAGGGTTTTCTCAGTGAGCCAGTCTCAGCCTTCAGCCTTGGGGTTACAGAATAAGTACACACTTTGGAAAAAAAATTCTGTGATTGAAGTAGAGAAAGTGAGGTTGGAAGGAATGATTAGAGAAGTGTGTTCAGTGGTTAAAGTTGATTTATACACATGCAGGTATTTCTTTACCAATCACAAACATTAAACCACAAAGCTATCACACTGGCTGTGAGTCCATACCTTTGATCTGAGTTTGTGTCCCCATCAGTCATGGATCTCCTGTATAGCCTTAATCTCTAATGTGTACAGTAGAAACCATTAGTTGCCTACATGAACAAGCTGTTAGTAAATCAGAGAGTGCTTAAAGCAGCACAAAGACTTATATGGGAGATACCATGTTGCAAAGTTCATCTTCGTTTGTTTTTTACTTAAGTATATATAGATCTTTGCTCACTTGTTATTTTATAGCAATGAGAAAGTGATCAGCACATCTAGAAGGTGTCCGGGAAGTGGAGAGGGAAAGGAGGGCAGTGGTTCTACCCTAGGTGATCCTGGAAGGGTGTGAACCATTCATGCTGTCCTTTGCTTCTTGGAAATGATGTGAGTCCCAGTGACAGCTTCTATAAATTGACATTTCTTCCTCAAAGTTGTAAACTTCCAGAAGTCATTAGATTTCTGAAGGTTTTTCAGGCTTCTGCTTATGAGTTTTAGGCATCATGGTGTATAGAAAGAATAACCCTCCACTTCCTGTGTTGGAGATTGTATATTTGATATTTGTCCTTTCTTCCTTCCTTTCTCCTCCCCTCTCCCTCTGCCCCCGCCCCCCAGGTCTCACTATGTAGCCCTAGCTGTCCTAGAATTTTATATGTAAATGAGGCTAGCCTTGAACTCACAAGAATCCACCTGCCTCTGCCTCCCAGGTGTTAGGTAATGATTAAAGCACACCAGCTTTTCTTTTAGACAGGATCTCTTGTAGCCAGGATGGCCATGAGCTTCTGACCACCCTGCCTCAGGCATGCACCAAGTTGTACAGTGCTAGGTATTGAACCCAGGACTTTGTGCAGGTTAGGAAGTCATTCTACCAACTGAGCTACATCCCCACCCCTACTTTTTTATTTCAATTGGTGGCAAATATTTTTTTCTGAAGCTTTTGTGGCATATAGTATTTGTGTCACATGTTAAATGATGCTAACTCACAATTGTCAGTTTGGGGAGTCATGACAAGGTAACTATAGTGTTATGCTTTAAAAAGCCGGCCTGGTGGCGCACACCTTTAATCTCAGCACTCGGGAGGAGGAGGCAGGCGGTTCTCTGAGTTCAAGGCCAGCCTGGTCTACATAGTGAGTTCCAGGACAGCTGGGGCTACAGGGAGACCCTGTCTCAAAAAGATCGAAAAAATAAAAATTAACAATAGCCGAGTGTGGTGGTGCACGCCTTTAATTCCAGCACTCGGGAGGCAGAGGCAGTTGGATCTCTGTGAGTTCAGATGATCCTGGTCTACATAGTGAGTTCCAGGACAGCTGGGGCTACAGGGAGACTGTCTCAAAAAGACAAAAAAAAAAATTGCAAGACTATTTGTGGTCCCTTTATAAATACACGTACATATATATGTTATTACGTGTAGATATAGAATCATAGCTTACTTACAAAAGTTTATCGTCATGTAAATTGCCTCTCAGATCATATCTATCAGGTTTGTCAATGATGGGACTGGAGCCTGTGGACAACACCATGGGCAGCTATGTGGGATAGGGCAAGACTGGGGCCTGGAGGAAGGATGGCTTCTGAAGAGAAGTACGACTTAGTTATGGTGAGACTCTGCAGTCTAGTTAAAATATGGCAGTTATACATCTGTAATCTTACTGTTCCTAGAGACTGAGGCCAGAAGGATGGAGAATTCAAGGCCAATCTGTGCTCCAGTGTTCATGCATGTTCATAGGCTTACAAATATACAAGTATATGCATACATGTATGCCTGAGGGTGTGTACACACACATACATGCATGTACATGTGTGTGTTTAAATTATGTATGTAAATACATAGGCACGTATCATTTGCATACATGTGTTTATAAATGTACGTTTTTATATTAAATGGAAGTTAATTGGCTGGGCTTTGTTGACATGCCATAACTATTGCTTCTGATTCAAAGATTTTCATGTGGAAATATAAAATTGTCTCTAAAGATCAAAATGATTGACTATATCCTTGAGATCTTTAAGTTGATTGCTCTAGTCGGTGTTCAAATTCTGATGCAGGTAGACCTTTATGATTCTTACTGAATACAACAGTAAGACCTCCACCATCAAAAATGCAGTGTGCCTGGGTAGATTGGTGCTGTCATGACTGCCTTCTGGAAGAGAGTATCTATACACAAAACATTTCCTGTGGAGATACTTACTTCACATGGTGGTGGATGTGCTGGCTGAGGCTGGAGCCCTGCAGCAGGAGTTCTGCTCCTGCTCTGACTTCTGCCTGCCCTCTGGGTAAGACACTTCGCTTCCCAATGAGCTGAGGGTGTCCACACAGACACCGACCAGCACTCATACCTTGCTGGTCCACTTGTCTTTAATTATCTCCTTGGTGGCATGTCTTTCCTTCTGAGATGGTCATGGGGCAACTGAGTGTCTGCTGGGTGGGTTTTGTTAGGAGCAACAGAGATCATGAATCATGAGTTTTGTTGCTGGTTCACCTATGCCAGATACAGTGATGCCACCTCCCAGTGCTGTTGTGCCTCCTGTCAATGTTGAATCACATCTCCAACACTCAGAACTGTGCCCTGGGGAATGTTTACTTTTCCTTTGCTGCTCTTTTCCTTTTTTCTTCCTCATGTTTATTTTAATGTGTGTTTTGCTTGACTGCTTTTGAAGTCCCCCGGCATCTTATTGCAGCTGGTGTCTGCTGTGGGATACCTCCGCTCACAAGGCATCATTCATAGAGACATCAAGGATGAGAACATCGTGATTGCTGAAGATTTCACAATTAAGCTGATAGATTTTGGCTCAGCTGCCTACTTGGAAAGGGGCAAGCTATTCTACACGTTTTGTGGAACAATTGAGTACTGTGCACCTGAAGTTCTCATGGGGAATCCGTACGTATGGCATGATCCTGCAGTGTGCCCTCTTCTTGCCTCTTCCTTTGGGCCCATGACTGATGTGATTTTGGGGAGAAATGGTTTCAGTGCATGCCTCCTTGTTGAGTGATGAAGGGTAATATTCTGAAGAAGTGGGGAAGCTGGATGATGGATGTAGGGACCCGTTCTCTTATTTCTTCAACTTTTGATTGTTGTAGCTTAATAGAAAGTTAGAAAAATAGAAGACGAGAAAGGTCCCCAAAGATGGGATTTTTTCAAGTAAATGAAAAATGAAAACCTCTTTTGCTAGGTTTCCTTATTTTGGTGACAGGACTAATCATTTTAATATTCTTGTTTGCCTGGCCATACAAGTAATCAAGCAATAGGGCGAGAGAGGATGAGGGATGCTGTGAAAAATGGAGCCCTGGGGCAGTGGAGGCTCTGGGCTAGACTCTGATCTTGGACCTACTTGCCTGTGTTCAGCCTAGGGGAAGCAGGCTTTCGAATGGAAGCTGAGTATGCTGCTCTGCAGCTTGGGAGCCTATGAGAGAAAAATTGAAAAGAAGGCCTTTGTTGGCCGGGTGTGGTGGCCCGTGCCTTTAATCCCAGCACTCAGGAGGCAGAGGCAGGTGGATCTCTGTGAGTTCAAGGCCAGCCTGGTCTACATAGTGAGTTCTAGGCCAGCTGGAGCTACAGGAAGACCCTGTCTCAGAAAGACCAATTAGAAGAAAAAGGTCATTGCCCACATGTGTGCAGGGCCTGAGTAGAAACTACTGACAGTGGTTTCTCTTCTCATCCACATATAAACAAAGTGTATAAAATTACCTTCCTAAGTCAGAGTCACCCCATGGTATCTTCGTCCTTCACCCATATAGATTGTGAGAAACATATAGCATGATTCTTAGGAGGAGAATGGGTGGTCAGAGGGACAGAATGTCTAGCTTTGTGTGGTCCTGTAGGATAGTGTGTAGGGTCACCAGATAGGCATAGTCAAAGCCGGATTTCATCCTGGGCCTGATTCCAAAGTGTCTTCTCATACCATACCATACTTTATCAGGTTTGTGTGAGAAACCCTCTGCAGTGGGGGTGAGGTTTTGTGTGACCAGCGCCTAGGTCTGTGTTTTCCTACGGCACTTTTCAAGTCAGTAAGTGAAGGTTCTAGGCAGCTCACATTGACTCCTGGCACTTGGTCTTCTAGCCTGCTGCAACCCTGCCCATGCTAGGCTGGCCTCTGTGTACTGTATGACTGAGCTTTGTGCAAACAGCAGAGCATGATGTGGGGGCAGAAAACTTTCCCTTTGGGGGCCCTCTGTGTGTTCAAAGCCTTCACAGCAAGCTATGTCCTCAGATATGATCTGGTTGCCCTTGTTCCCATTGAGTGCCCTGCTCTGGTACCATCATCTAGTAGGCTGGTGTATAGGAGGTATTGAAGAGGAATTGCATGTACACTGGCCCACAGTACATGCCATGTGTCCAGTCTGCCGAGCCACATCCAGGCTGTGAAGCTTCTATCACAGTGCTTATCTCCCCCCTCCTACCCCTTTTCAACTTCTCCTCTAGCCACCCACTCTGCACTGTGCCTTCTCCTGTCTGCTCGCTCCCTCTCCTTTGTGGTTGTACTTGGGCTGCTCCTGCTCGCAGACTTCTTGGTCTTAGTTCACGTCCTTGAGCATTCTGACCCTTCCCCCTTGTCATCTTCCTCCGTCCTAGACTAAAGACTGACTGAATTCTGATTCCAGATTCTGCCCCTATGAACACTCTTCCTCCTTCCTTTTACACCTTCTTCTCCAGGTCAGCATGCACTGGCTTGGCCACATACAGCCTGCCTGCTGTGGCTGACAGCGTAGGTGAGGTGAGAATGCTGACACCTACCGTCTTCCAGCATTGCTCCTGTAGCAGTTGGTCCAGGTCCTGGTATACCTCTCCATCTTACCACTCATTTCTCTGTCCTACAGCTGTCACCACACATTGTCCCTTATTTCTCCTTATTTGCCTCAACCTTGAGCATCCCCCTTGTGTCATCATATGGTCTTTCTGTGGGGCACAGCACCACTGTGTTCCGATGCTGACCCCAGTGAGACTGAGTGGTGTCTTGCTACCTGCCTCTCTGCCTTCCTCTCCTCCAGGAAGCCCTCCGTTTCCAGGTCAGGTGCAGGGTCTCTTGCTTGAGGGAGCCCTGAATGGCCAATGGAATGCCAGTCTTTGGCTGGGGGTGGAAGGTTCAGGTACTCAGGGTGGGGCTGGCTTAGTGAGCTTTGTATTGGGCACAGTGAGGCTCTGAAATGCTCTCTGTTCCTCCTTACAGCTACAGAGGTCCAGAGTTGGAGATGTGGTCTCTGGGGGTTACACTTTACACACTGATTTTCGAGGAGAATCCCTTCTGTGAGGTGGAGGAAACCATGGAGGCAGCCATACATCCCCCGTTCCTGGTGTCCCAAGGTGAGCATGACCCTCAGGTGGCAAATGATGCCACTGTCTTGACAGTGCTCAGCTCTCTTGTTTGTCCTCTATGTCCACGCTGATGACCTCATTTACCTTTTTTACTCTAATGCTTTGATCTGAGCATAATAATTTGTATGGCTCAAAAACAACTTTTTATTTTAGTTTTTATTAGTGTTCCTTGCATCCTTGAGGCCCTCTTGCAAATGAGAGACTTTGTAGTCAGTAACCTTGCCTGTGGTGGTACCTGTGAGATCAGATGTGTAGGTCAAGAACTCCATTGTGGAGGAGTGGAGTATCAGTGCATTGAGAGACTTGACCCCTCAGTAACTCCCATGGAAAGTGTCCTTATACAGAAACCTTGTAAGCAGCGTGAGATGGCAGGTTGAGACCAAGTGGTACTTTATATCTGGAATGCGGGCCAGGGTATCCAGTGGATGTAGGCTCAGAGGCCAGAAACACTTCTGAAGCTTGGAGCAGTTACCTTAGGAGCCTGTAGCCTAGAGGAGCCCATAAATTCAGATGTCAGCTGGGGCTCCTTCCAGCTTGGCATTCTGTGGTTCCACAGTAGTCACTTACTGTGAAGAGTCATGTGGTGACAGGGATCTTCACACAGAAAGCTTATGCCTTGGCCTCTGCTTAAGTTGGAAGCATCTGTCTGTTGTAAGAATCCCACAGATGGGGCCTTAAGCAGTAGATGGTCATTTTGTAGTTTCCAGAGCTAGAAGTTCAAGGCCACGTTGGTGGCAGATTCAGGGCTTGGTGAGGCTATTTCCTGGCTTTTGATGGTACTTTCTTGCTAGATCCTTATGGTGAATAGAGAGGGACTCTAGTCCTTTTTCCTCTTAGGACACTAACCCCAGTCTGTTTCCCTACTCTTCATAACCTCCTTGAACACCCTTCCTCCTTGTATCGTAGATTGGGGCTAAGCACTCAAACATACATTGGGAGGGACACACTCCTCTACAGCAGCCTGAAGTTAGGGTTTTACTAAGTTGTGGATGCCTGTGATGCTGTGATTTTTGTGATTCACTGTTTTGTTCCAGGGCCTGCTCCATGGGTTCTCACTACACTACAGATTGGGTTCCAATGATGAGGCCTGATCAGCATGCACATACTTGGAGGAAACAGGACTCAAATGTAGATCCAAGGATGAGCTCATACTACTTCCCCACAGGATGATCTGGGGTGCCCCTGCTGGCCACCTCCTCCCCCTTCCTGACATGTCTACTGTCAGTCACTCATTACAAGCCAGTGCCTCTGTGAGCAGGCAGGTTAGGAAGCTCCATGCCATCTGAGCTTTGGTCAAGCTGGATCCTGACCTCCAGGCTTTTGTTTTAGAGGCAATAAACTCTCTTAAAGACTTTCCCTAAGCATACCCAGCCAGGCTCATGACTTAGGACTTCTGGCTGCCTTCTTTCCTTGTGAGAGGTTCTGTGGGGGCAGGGTATCCTAGAATCTATAGGTTGGAGATGTGTTACATTTGATCACAACCTGCTAGGCAGAGGCAGGAAGATCTCTGAGATCAAGTCCAGTCTGGTCTACATAGTGAGTTCCAGGCCACCCGAGGCTACAGGGAGACCCTGTCACAAACAAAACACAAAACAACAATAACAAACCCATTTGGTCCCAATGTGGATCCACCTGTGTCCTTTGTGTCCTCAGAACTCATGAGCCTTGTGTCTGGACTGCTGCATCCTGCCCCCGAGCGGCGTACCACCCTGGAGAAGCTAATCATAGACCCTTGGGTGACACAGCCAGTGAACCTTGCTAACTACACCTGGGAAGAGGTTTGTCGGACCAACCAGCCAGGTGAGAAGTCTCAGCCTCCCTTCCTCCCCCACTCTGTGTCTTTGCTTTGAATGAGGTGACCAGGCTGCCTTCCTGGATGAGGCTCCCTCCTCCACACTTTCCTGGACACACATATCAGTCTGTGACTGGCCTGAGAGATAGGGTTTGACTGTGCAGAGGCTCCTGGATGCTCTGGAGTTCAGAATGTGGCTATGAGTCTTAGAGGGGGAACAAGTTCTCATGGACGTCTTGGCCAGGAGGGAGGAGAGGGCAATAGTTTGAAGAGTATGACTGGGTCAAAGGGGGCTAAGGACATGGATGTTGACTTGGATGCTTTGGGGCTAGATGGGAGCCATGTCTCATCAGACAAGGCTGGTAGCCTTAAGCCAGAGCACTGGTGGACCAACCTAGGATCGTTGGTTGTGGGATTAGCATTCCCCCAGCACCTTAGCTGGATCTGTTCTTTTAGAATGTTACCAGTCAGGCGGCTGGAGAGATGGCTCAGCGGTTAAGAGCTCTGGCTGCTCTTGCAGAGGATCTGGGTTCAATTCCCACTACGCACATGGCGGCTATGAACCGTCCTTAACTTCAGTTCCAGGGGAACCCGAAGCCCTCTTCTGACCTCTGCAGCACTGCATGACATGGGTGCACTCACATACATGCAGGCAATACACTCATATACATAAAATAAATAATAAATAAAATATTTTTTTTAAAAAAAGAATGTTACCAGTGGGATTTCAGAAGCAAGAAATATTTAGGAATATTTTCTTGGTAGCATGCAATATGATATCTTCTTGATCCTTTAGAAAGTAGCCTGCTGTCAACTGCAAGTCTGGAGCTTGGGAGGAGGAATCCAAGTGAAGTGGCTCAGACAAAGGGTGTCTGTGGGCCTCCTGCTCCTAGGGAGGCTCCTGGTGGCCAGCACTCCTTGCATCCTGAGGACCCCTCTCTGCCAGTCAGCTGAACTCAAGCTTCCTCCTTATCTTCTTCACTTGGTTATGGATTTCAGGACTTTCTACCTGGAGAAAGGAAATTATCAAGAAACGAATTCCCCTTCAAACCCCTGTGCAAGTTTAAGTGCCAAACAAAGCCAGCAATACTATTTTTTTTTTTTTTTGGTTTATAAAATAGACTTCTAATGCATGTTTTTTTATGACCTTGGAAAAGCATTCTAGTGTTCAGTTACTTTGTATTATTAAAGAGCTTTAAGTCATGAGCTTCAGAAAGGCATAAGGAGTGTTTTAATTCTACTGCTTGGTTGGAAAAATACTTGGTTTTCTTTTGTTTTTCCATTTTTGTACCCGGTCATTTGCCACAACTCTAAAGAAGTCCATTTTGGCTTTGCCTAGAACACCAAGACTACTGGTCATCTGTCAACCAGTGATGCCCTGCCAGCACTCACAGACATCCTGTGACTGGCCCAGCCCCACCCATGTCTATGGGAAGAGCTTCATCCTTACCTGTGTCTGTGTGAGGGACTCTAGGCCCACCCCTGTGTCTTATGTGAAACTCTTCAACCCAACCTGTGTCTGTGTAGGGGCCTCCAGGTCCACCCCTGTTTCTGTGAGGAGCTCTAGGCCCAGCCCCCAGAAGTTAGTGATGTGTTTGCTTTAGAATTCAGATGCTCAAGGCTGTTTCCAAAATGAAGCATTTTTTTCCTTGTCTCTATGCCGCTTATAAAGTGCAAGATGTTGCAGAAATTTCTTTTTTCAGACAATTATCCAGTGGGTTGAGAATGCAAAATCCTAGCTCTCCAAGGACCATTTATTTTAATTAGTAAAAAAAAAAGCTGTTGGTAACAGTTTGGTGCTTTTCAGGTGTTTGTAAAAACAAAAACAAAAAATTAGAGACTAAAGTTCTGAGGCTGCAAACTGATAATTTTTCTCCTGGAGTTTCAAGTCTGGTTCAAAAAGGGAGTTTCATGACAAGTAAAGTTGTAGTCAGATTTTTGTAGTAATTCTGTTCTAGCCATCACTTGTTTTAGAGTTGAATGATTTGTTCAGGTTTGTAGATTTTTTTCTAAGAAGTTGAGGTGGTGTAGTGTTTTCTTAGACTTTAGTTATATAAAAGCATAAACAACTTTTATTTTGAGGGTTAACTGAGTGTTTAAAAAAGGAAAATAGATTTTATAGTGAGACAAAAGCAGCAAATTCTTTAGTTTTTACATAGATTACAACTTTCCTGCTTTTTGATACAGTCCTGTCAAAAGATACTTTAGCACTAACTCAGTGTCTAGTACAGACCAGGTATGTGTATGGCTACACAGAATTGGATCCTTTTCTCAGCTAAGAAGCTGACAAGACGTATGTATAACGTATACTATGTATTATGAGTTAAGTGGTGGAATTTAGGCAGCTGGGAAAGCACACCTTCTATCTTTCACTGCTGTCACCTCAAAGATGACCAGGCTATTTGTCCAGACAGGTCTAGGATGCAAACTTAATGCATACAGATTGGTCTGGAACATTCTGGTGCTTCATCCTGAGGGCAAACCAGACCTCTGGGCTGTGAAGGCTCTGCTGTTTATAAGGGGAAGTGTGTCATCATGGGTCCTGCCATTTTATGACTTGGGCCATGATTTTTTTTGTGTGTGTGTATATGTGTATGTGTGAGGTATATGTGCATGTGTGTGCACAAAGAGACCAGAAGAGGGTGTTGAGTGTCTTCCTCTCTGTCTTACTCCTTGGAGGCAGTATCTCTTCCCAGATCTGGAGCTCAGATTTTTTTTTTTTTTGGCTAGACTTGCACCCAGCCAGCCCCAGTGATCCATCTCTGCCCCTCTATGTGAAGGGCTGGGGTTATCAATATTGGTGGGACCACACCCAGCTTTTAATGTGGGAGCTAGGATCTGAATTCTAATTCTCATGCTTGTGTTCTTGGGTGTTGACCCATCTCCCCAGACTCAAATGGTAGACTTCTTTTGGTGTGTGTGCGAAGGTCAGAGGACAACGGTCCCAAGTTTGTGTTACAGCTTTCTGGAGTGGGTTCACTTCCTCCACTTTTACATGGATTCCTCCGGGTTGTGTGGCAATGTTTTTACCTTTTTAGTCATCTTGTCAGCCTGAACAAAGATATTTAAAGAACAGAATTTACTGAATACCTTTATCTGAGACTGGATCCATTTCAGGAAGAATTTTGGGCTGCTCAGGGAAGATAGCTGCTTCATAGTGCCCATACAAAACAACTCTCACCTCAAAGGTGAGCCAAAACGAGTAACCTTTCGCCCAGGAACAGGTTGTCTCAAAAGACCTGGTTCATTATGGAGGTAATTAGGTGAGGTTTTATTAGTTACAGAACAAAGTCATAAATCAAAGCGTTTACCAAACACATCAGTGAGGACCACAGTTAGGAAGGATGCAGCAAAACAGGGAAACCGTTACTGTAGCTTTCAGATGTTATGACATTCTTAGTTTTGGGATTGGTGAAGGCCAGAGGTCTATCTACTAAGAATACATTTGAAAGTTTTTGGTGATGACGATGTCAGATCAGACAGGTCCAGTGGACTGTCAAACTCAGCGGATTAAAAATAACCAAGATAATTCGATTCTGCCCTCCACAATTACAGAGTTAGGTTATTTGGCCTCGTAGAATCTTTAGCACAGGTGAAGCCCCTTTTCCTGGCAAGTTTACCGGAAATAACGGTGTTAGCCTGGGGATGGTTTGGTTTCGCTGCAGTGGAGCTGCTTTAAGAGACAGGAAAGAAGAGCTAAACTCAGCGGATTAAAAATAACCAAGATAATTCGATTCTGCCCTCCACAATTACAGAGTTAGGTTATTTGGCCTCGTAGAATCTTTAGCACAGGTGAAGCCCCTTTTCCTGGCAAGTTTACCGGAAATAACGGTGTTAGCCTGGGGATGGTTTGGTTTCGCTGCAGTGGAGCTGCTTTAAGAGACAGGAAAGAAGAGCTCACGGGCTTAACCCA